CCCGAGGGGCTGTATATGAGTGATGTTTTGCCCGAGGGGCTGTTTATGATTTTATCATTTTTACTCACCTTTGCATTGAGCCTCTGTTTGAAAAACTATTGGAAAAATGTCTTTAAATGATTTTTTTTACTGGAACTGTGTTTAAACTAGATAATTTGATTCAAATCCTGATTTTTAAAAGCATATGGTATTTTACTGAGATTTCCTGATATGAACGTTATATGCTTTATTGCTCGTCACTACTGCTCAGTCTTTATTTATTATTGTTACTTACTGAGTTGGCGTACTCACGTTACTCCCTGCACCTTGTGTGCAGATTCAGGTGTAGCTGGACACGGTAGCGGTTATTGAGTGTTCTGGTTGAAGATTTCCTTGGAGATAGCAAGGTAGCTGTTTGGCGATCGCAACCCTTGCTCTTCACCCTCTTATCTTCCTCTAGTTGTATTTAGCTATTTTCCGGGCTGAGTTAGTCTTGATATTGTTAGACAGATTGTAGTATATGCTCATGACTAGTAACAACCCGATGTCGGGCTTTTCTTTTCCGCACTTCTGTTTTTCTTTAATTGGAACTCTTTAAATGGAGGTTTTATATCAAATAACCTTGAAATTATCTTTAAAATGAAAATATCGATTTATTTTGGAAATGAGTCGGCTTGCCTAGTTCCATGATAGACGCCATCACGACAGGGGTTTGTTTTGGGTCGTGACAGTGAGTTGTCCGTGCGATTCCAGGTATTGATATTATAGCACGTGAGTTGTCCGTGCAGCACGTAATTTGTCCGTACAGATTATAGCGCTTGGGCTGAAAGGATCCCCTCCGGAGTCTGCACAAACCCAGTGAGCGCAGTCGACTATAAATAGGGATCAGGCTGCACGCCGCACACTACTAGAAATTCGCTATTTTTCAACTACCAAAATAGTCGAAAAGTAGTCGAAAAAATACCTATTTCGACTAATTTCCGACTGATTTAGAGTAGTCGGAAAAAGATAGGTCGGAAAAACTTTTTCGACTACTGTAGTCGGAAACGTTTTCCGCCAAAAATTAGAAAAGGGAGCTATTTTCCGACTGAAGTAGTCGGAAAATAAAAAAAATATTATTTATTTTAAAAAATATTTCCGACTAATGTAGTCAGAATATTATATAAATAATAATTATTTATTAGTTATTTTTATTTTATTTTCCGACTACAGTAGTCGAAAAATGCATTATTCTAGGCTCATATTCAGACTACAGTAGTCGAAAAACTGGGTTGATTTTTGGTCGAATACAACTATTTTATTAGCACACCACCTGTCAAATGACCAATGCTATAAACAACCAATTCAACCAACCAATTCCAACTAAACAACCTAATAATCAAACCAACCAATTCCAACTTCAACAAACAAACATTCAAATCCCATAATATCAAACCAAAACATTAGTCAAAGTCCAAAATATTCAATATCAAGTCTAAGTAGCTAATACACATTGACACTAATATAATAAAGTCTAAACATATATACCACATCATCCAAATCTACCATAAAGTCTAAATATAAAATCTAAACATTCAAAAATAGTAATCAACCATAAACCACTACTACGCATCAAATTCAACCTTTTCATCGTCATAAGAGTGGGGCATGTGCTTTTTCATGTATTTATCCATTCTAGCAATGTGAGTTTCGGCTGTTTCACACCGTTTAGACAACAACTCAATTTTCTTTTGCATTGCTTCCATTTCTTCATGATTTTGCGCAATATGAGCATCCGAAAATAATGGCAATGGACAAAAAGAGGAAGGTCGTTGTACTCCAAGTCCGTAAACTCTTCCTTTGGATATACCACCTGCCATATCTGTCCATATTGAAGTCATATCATCGGGTGACGGTTGGATTGGGGTACCATCATCAGAAGTAGGCTATGTCTGACACCATTCATCCAAGATTCTATGATATCCATCCTGAAATAAAAGTAATAAGGATTATATAAATAAATTAATATCAAAGTGAAAATAGTCTTAAAGTTATGATCTTACATATTGTTCCGATACACGTATCTCAACCCATCCTTCTCTTGAACCGTCTTTCTTCTTTTTCGTATGTGTCTCCGCAAAGACCTCAGCATGAGATACTGGTCCCCTTTTAACTTTTCCTACAAAATTAATAAGATATATAATTTTTTTTAAAAGTTCAATTGTGTTTAAACAAAACCAAAAAAATAAAGGTGAAAATTACCAATCTCCGTCGATGCGCAGCAAAACTCATAGATCCCCCGGTGTGCACGAGCCACCCTTTTGAGAGGCTAGGGCTGCCTTTGCTCGTTTACTCTTCTTCTTAAATGCATCACTATCCCATATTGCTAAAACTTTTATCCACACATCTTCTCTTATCCAACCAGGATTCTGCCTCTTTTCTCGAGCTTCATACAATGAACTTGTAATCGCATTTTTTGCTTTCTTCACAAAGACATCTTTTATTTCATTGTCATATCGTTGCTCCCACACACACTTAGTCTGGAAAATAATGAAATAAAGTAGAGTGAAATTGGATATTTGATAAAAATTTAAAAATAAAGTTTATATGTACCCTAAACTGATTCCACATTGCATCTCTGATATGATATGGAATTTCTCTTCATATACTCCAAGCATCATCGTAAAGTGGTTTAATAGACTCTGTAACCATATGCGCTGTAGTATATGGGGGAAAACCTGCATTAAAATTAACATATATAAAATATATATTCAAAAGAGTAAAAATAAGCATAAGGATTACTTACCCATCATGCTCATCCGGAACGATAATCAACCTACTATATGCATCATATTGTGGAGTCTCTCTATCAATTCGATCCCGAGAAGTTGTTGGTGTAGCACTACCAATGGATGGTGATGTTGGTGTGCCAGAGACTCCAATATTTAACCTAGATACGCTAGGTGTGCTTGATGACGGAGATGCAGCTGGAGTCGATGAAGTAGGTAGTGTTGAGGAGCTACCTTGTTGACTAATATGAAAACCGGGAGAAGAATTTACATTTGGTGTGGGAATAAAATTAAGGTTAGAGCCAGAGTTCATGCCAACTGAAGACACATAAATGTGGAAAGGCCCAGGTGGGGGCATAATCCCAACCTAATATTTCTTGGTTCACTTGCAAAGTCCGGGAACACTCTATCAAAATGCTTCCATGCTTCTCCATCTGACGGGTGACATAGAACACCAATTGGCCTTTTATGTTCATAGTGCCATCTCATATGAGGAGCGGAGCTCATTGATGCATACAATCTCTTTAACTTTGGTATAAGGGGTAAGTAATGCATCGCTTTCACCGGGACCTTTTTCTTATTAGCATTTGTAACTTCCTTATAACGAGGTTGGTTACAAAACTTACAATTTTCTAACGCTGCATCATCCTTATAAAATAACATGCATCCTTTCTCACAACAGTCAATCCTCTCTAATGAAAGTCCTAACTTGGACACCAATTTCTTTGCAGTATAGAAATCTTTGGGTAAGTTAATTTTATTCGGATTTAGTTCATTCATCAGCCCAGTGATAGAATCCATGCCCGCTTGAGAAATAGAACTATCAGATTTGATAGTTAGTAGTCTAACTGCAACAGACAACTTGGAATGCATTGAGCCTTCATATAATGGATAACTAACTTCTTCTATTTATTCATAAAAGTGCTTAGCCTCATCATTTGGTTCGGATTGAACCTCTTGGAACATCTCAAAAGCATCGCTCATCATTTCATTGAATCGAGAATTTTCAAAATTATTCTCTATTCTAGGACTACCCTCACCACCAAAAGAATTATGAATATCATGATTCTCTCCATGAACAGTCCATACATAATAATTTTCTATAAATCCATTCTTGTAAAGATGAAGTTCAACTATATCTGGTCTCAATAACTTGACACACTTGCATTTAACACAAGGGCACCTAATTGTCCCTTCAATTAGAAAATCATTTAGCAATTTTGCCTTAGCAATAAACCCCGCAACTCCTTCTATAAATTCTTTCCTCAATCCCGCACGATTAGGATGAGTCCTATTATACATCCATCTACGATGTTCAAATTCCATCTACATCAAGAAAAAAAACTATTGAGATATTCTTCTAAAGGTTCCTACTTTGAATAAGTGTAATACCTTCAACATTTTAACTATGAATGACTCTATAAACTTAAAATTTCACAACAAAAAGTTAGATTGATTACATTCAAAAGCATATCTACTAGTTTATAGCGGAATCAAAATTCAACAAGAGAAGTCTCACATGTCCAAATGACTAGTTAAATTTGCAACAACAACAATATTCGGAGAAAGTGCACATAGTACTATGCTAAATACTTTAATTATTACATAGTATTATTTCATTATTTCATTCAAACTTAAGTGAGTTGAATAACAAGTAAATATAAATTAATAGTTAACTCCTAGCATCAAAGTGAAACTAAAATTTTAAATTTACACAAAAGAAATCCAACCATTTAGTTATTAGCAAACAAGGTAACTTGAAGAACGAGGCAAGTCCTATGATTTATATAAAGATATATTTTGCATAAACATATGTTTTTAAAAAAAGATATATAGATATACCTATCGTAGCAAGGACGAAACCAAGAAACAAAAGTTGAAATGGAGGATGAAACAGTAGTATAGTCTTTCTTTAATTATCAACCTTTGTACTCTTTCAGTCTTCTGCAAAATCATGATGCCTTATATGAGTGAATGTAGAATAAAAAGTGACACCAAATAAATATGTAGGTAAATAACTAATCAGTTTTTCTTGTCAGAGTCCATCCACATGTTTTCACCAAATCATAAACAAGTACTTTCATATTCACCAAGTCATCCATATTCAAATTTCATAATCCAAATTTATACTTAAGAGGTTATGTAAATTTCATATCAATATTTTCAAATAGAAGTTATTATATCCAGATTCATAAGAACTAACAAAGTTCGACATTTATCAAATAAAAAAAAGGAAAGAAGAAGAAGAAGAATTATAAGCAGCTATTGAACTTCAGTATCACTTGGTAGCCAACAACTCAACATTGAACTCCAAAATGCCAATGGTGCAATGTCAACCATTCAATATCAGTAAGGAAACCAAGAACTGAAATTGGATCTTAATTTCCCATTTAGGGCCTTTTGGAGTTCCTTTATTTGGATGAATACCAATATAAAATAAATTCAGAAAATAAAATATGGGAATAGATGGAGTATTAATCTAATATCACTACATAAAGTAGCATTTAAACACATTTGAAATATCTACTGGTTTACATAACCAAAATAGTAGCTATCATACCATAACATCGATAGCCATGCCTGACATAAGAATTGTACAATTAGGGACCTTTTTCTTGATACTCTGCTACACCCTGAACATATTACAAACTACTATAGTAAAGGTACATGATAACACAAAAATAAAAAAGACATACGCAACACCACACTACTTTCCAGAATGGTTTTGTTGAACCATGGGTGTTTGCATCACTTTGCGGGTCAACTGTGCTTTAATTGGAGGAAACACCAGGTACATCATGCATCTATTATACATGAGGGAGATATTCATTATAGGTACAATGCCAACATCTTCAGGTTTGGGTATCAAATAATATGGGCAACCTGTATCTACACAAGTTTAGCCTTCACATGGACAACTATGCTGGAACGATTTGTGTGTCATTGGTTCAGAAACTTATCTTTGTCAAGAGTGGATTTCAGTTCAACCTACAGAGTGATGTGGGTTAATGATTGTGATTACAACTATAAGTCATGCATCTAGTTTATTCAAGTCTTTACGAGTTTATTATACACAACTTTGATAATAGCCAGCCGCAAAGTACATAAAAGTTTTAGAGAAATACTAAACACACAGCCCATAGCCAGCCGCAAAGTTCACAGAAGACTATTAAATTGACTAAATTACAAGAATTAAGATAAATACCAACACCATACACAAAGACTACTAAGTTATTCTTGTGGAAAAGATAAAAACTAATAAGTACTAATTAATTTCATTAAAGAGGGAAAATTACAACGCGGTCAATGTGTAGTTTGGAGCATTACTTTCTAGAAAACGAAAATAGTAGGTTGTATAATGGTAAAAGAGTATAAATTGACACAGAGAGACACACCTGAGTCGTCGGCGGCGGCGGCGGCGGTCACAACCACTAAAGACACCGCTGGAAGAGAGGAGGGACGTGAGCTATGAGAGAGAAGAGAGAGTGTGGGAAAGGAAAAGATAATTAGAAAAATAAGGGTTTCGGCCCAAAATAACTAAGTTATCCGACTACAGTAGTCGCTAAATAATATCTGATTAAGTTCCGACTATTATAGTCGGAAACAAATTATTATTTAATTAATTTTATTTTAAACTTTTTCGACTACTGTAGTCGAAAATTATTTATATGTTATGTTCCGACGGCAATAGCCGGAAAAATATATGCGCGGAAAATTCTGCGAAACTTGACGATACTAGTAGTCGAAAACGTAGTCGGCAAAATTCTAAACAATTTCTATAAATACAAATATAAATTTTCCGATTACAGTAGTCGGAATATTGTTACTAACAATTTATAGTCGAAAATGGAAGTCAGAAAAAAGCTTTTTTCTAGTAGTGGCAACGGGTATTGTACAGCACTAAGTGATTGAGTGTGCTGAGCATAGTGAGAGAGAATGCAAGACAGTGAGATTGAGTACTCTGAGAGTGTGAGTACATGAGCTCATCATCGAGATGCATTGCATTTGACATGCGTACTTGAAATACATGCATAGAGGTGCATCTCCTGCTGCTACCCAGTTTTGGGGACATTTATGATTTTACCTGTATCTTGACATGTAGGCATAGAGAAGTACTTTCCTCATGCTATCTGAAAATGAAACATCTTACTATTTGTTGAAAGGAGTTTTGGGAAAAAATATAGTTTTCAAACTTACTCGTATTTTGTCTTTTTTGATAAAAGATTTGGATTTTCACTGAGATACTTGAAAAGAAATGCCTATTTTTTTCTGGAACTATGAACGGACTGAGCCTTTTATTTCTGAGATACTCTTTTGTTACGTGTACTATGCTGTTATGAACTTTTGTGAAATATTGGTATTGGACCCGACCTTTCTATTAGCTAGTCACTACTTTCAACCTAAGGTTAGGTTTGTTACTTATTGAGTACTTGGAGTCGGTTGTACTCATACTACACTTCTGCACCTTGCGTGCAGATGTTGTTGTGTTCGATGGGAGCTGAATTGAAGATGTACCTGTGTCCCGGCTGTAGCTGCCTCTTGTTCGTAGTAGCTTTAGATCTGTAAAACTCTGTTTATGTACTATTCAAACAGACTATGTATTTATTTCATTTCCGCTTTGTAAACTCTATTCTTAGAAGCTCATGATTTGTACTACCAGTTCTTGGGGGAAACATATTAGTTTCATATATTTTCTTTTAATTAATTACCTTATTAATTGTTATTGGAATTGGTTAGTGGTTAACTAGCTTACCTAGCGGATTGGGTTAGGTGCCATCACGACTAGTTGGATTTTGGGTCGTGACAAGGTGGTATCAGAGCTCTAGGTTAATAGGTTCTACAAGTCATGAGCAAGTGTCTAGTAGAGTCTTGCGGATCGGTATGATGACGTCCATACTTATCTTCGAGAGGCTATCGTGCATTTAGGATATATACTTCCTATCTTTCTCTCCTTATCGTGCGGAATTGATTCAGTTTGAGACATAACTCTTTGAATTCCTTCCACGCATTCGTATGCGCACATAAGCGCTCGATATTGGTTGTGCATCGCCGGTTTGTAATTCTATGAACGAGGTTCGAGATGTGTATTCTGTGTTTTAGTGATGGGCCAGTCTGGAGGATTTGAGGCCATGGTTAGACCGCAGCTTAAGCTCAGTAGTTTCAGTTGTAACTTGTACATTTGGACTCATATGTCCGGTAATATACCTATGAGTGGAATTTGTGGCTCGATGAGCGGTGAAATAGCTTTGTGATGAGTATGATGTAACTGCGGAATGTGTTAAGACGATGTGAATATGACGAGAAGTGTTTCCTTGGAATGTAAAGAGGGCCATTGGGTGCTTGATTTTCGTTTGATGTGATGTACAGTCTCGAATTGTGAGTGTGTTGAAGGACCTGTCATGCAGTTTAATTGTGGAGAGAATTAGATTTTTATGTCTTGTTAATGAGTTTGGACTCAGAAAGATTAAGTGATTTCATAGTAATTGTAATTGCTAAAGAGTATAACAAGATGCCAATTTGAGGCTAAGCAGGTGGGTTATCCCCTGCGGAGTAATCTACGAAGGTGTGTTCCTTATAATATGAATGGAGAGTTTCTTTTCTGCCAGCGGGGCGTATGTGTTGAGACTTGAATTTGAATCTGGTTGAGAAAGTTGACTTGAGTGACCAGAGAATGATTGTGATTCTAGCGGACGATTGAGGTATTTTTCTGGTCGGCGTTGTATAAGCTTGAGAAGAATTTTCGTTATACTGACTACGGCATTATGACAGTAATAGAGTATGAAAATTGTGAGTTATGAGTGTTTTAATTTATGACTTTGAGCCAAGTGGGGGAGTCTGCTATGGGCAAATCAATTCATGGATATGTATCAAATTTTTATTTTGGTATGAAGTATACTTGGAAATCAGTGATGACTTGCAGAGGTGGAGTTCGAGAATGACTCGAGTAAGGAAATTTTTGGATATGGGTTATATTGTGCTTTATGAGTATATGAAAATCATGGGATTAGTGAGTTGTTATTTGTAAATAATGTAGTGCGCACAGAGTATGAATTTGATCTGTGGTCTTAAGGCAGGATTATCTCTTTGAGTGATGCTGTGCTAATGGGGCACTTGTTTTTCAGCCCATTTGGGCGGTGTAATTTGGAATTGAACAAAGGGGGAGACTCTCGAGAAAGTTCCAATAAGTTCGAGATTTATATATAGCAATTGAGAATTTCTCCAGACTTGTGTATGGATAAAAATCTGAGATTTGCATTTGATGGTGTTGAGACTTGTGGCATTTTTGTATATCATTATGGATTTTATATCTTGGTATTAGGAAGGTGAATGAAATGTCCTTAGACTCAAATAAGGTATTTTCAGAGTGGGTATTTTGGTTGTGGTATTTATAGTGATAATTATAATGTAGTGAGACTTTACAGATATTTTGGTGGTAATATTTTTGGGTTTTGTTGACCATCGTGGCTTGGACGAGATAGAGGAAATTAGTTCTGATAGCTTGATTAAGTGAAAATGGATTTCAAAAGTAATCTTAATGGTTTCTACCATGATTTGAACCGGATATTTTCTACTGGTGAGGGGAAATATATTGTGTATTGTGATTTCCTCCTGGGAGGAAGCAAGAGGAAGGTTTCTAACTAACCAGGTATGTAAATTGTTGGTGACTCGAAGTTAATAATAAGATTTTTGTGCTTGTCACATGATGGCATAATAGATGTGGTGTGGTGTGCAGGATTAGGATTTACATGTAAGAAATAACCCTCTTTTGATATTCTCACCTCACTACAATATTGTTTACTCTCTATTTTTCTCACAGACTATTTTCTTATACCCTGTCTGTGAAACCTCACTCTTCTTTCTAACTCTCAGATATATTTTTTCTCTGAGATTTGGTGTGTAAAATGAGAAGCTAAAGGCTTCTATTTATAGGAAGAAGTGTTATAACCAAAATTAATTTTGGTCAAAAAACGTATTTCGGTGCCAACTACTAATTTTGGCATCTTGCAAATTTTTCTTCTTCATTATGGGGATGGACCCCACAATTTTTTTCTTCTTTCTTCATTATGGGGATCCACCCCACAATCTCCTTTTTTCTTTGTTTTATTATGGGACTGGACCCCATAATTTAATGGATTCAAGATATATTATTTGTATATATTTAATAAAATTTTCAATGAATATACCGGCCGAGCCGAAGTTATGGGTTCAAATGAACCGATAGCTTCCATTCTAGATACGCCCTGCGTTGAGCTAGTTTTTTAATAAATGTCCATGCCATTCCAGTAGTAAATTGGTGGCTAGATCTTTGTCTATTGTTGAAATTGATGGCTTTATATCTATAAATATCACTAGACAACAACGTTTTTGTTATAAATATAACTCAAAATAACAATATCGAACAAGAAAAAACAAGCTAAGAGATATAGAGAGAAAGAAATGAAGAGAGATTCTTATTTCTTCTTCAATTGTGTATTTTTCCTATCTATTACAAGGCCTTTATATAGGCATGAAAAGTGAATAAAAATATGTCATTGAATATGTCATTAAGCATAGAAATATGTCATTGAATATATCACTAAGCATTTGAGAAGATCATGGAGGAAGAGTAGACATCCAACATAATTTGATTTCTCTTATAACACTCCCCCTTGGATGTCCATAGATAATGTGCCTAGCTAAAACCTTATTAGGAAAAAATCCTATTGAAAAAAAAATCATAGTGAAGGAAAAAGAGTACACATGTTTAGAAATACGCCTTTTGGTTGCCTCGTTAAAAACCTTGCAAGGAAAATCCAGTGGAACAAAACTTTGTAAGGGAAAAAGAGTACAACGCGTATTAATTCCCCCTAATGAGAGCATCAATTCACATCCTTGAGCTTTCGCATCCCAATCTTGTACACTAGTTTCTTGAAGGTTGACGTCGGTAGAGATTTGGTGAACAAATCAGCCATATTATCACTTAAACGGATCTGTTGCACATTGATATCACCATTCTTTTGAAGATCATGTGTGAAAAATAACTTTGGTGAAATGTGCTTTGTCCTATCCCCTTTTATGAATCCTCCTTTCAATTGGGCTATGCATGCTGCATTGTCTTCATACAAAATTATGGGTAATTTATCACACTTCAAACCACACTTGTATTACACACTTGTCCTCAACCATACACATTCTCGACTTGCTTCATGAATAGCAATTATTTTAGCATGATTAGATGAAGTATACACTATTGATTGCTTAGTCGATCACCAAGATATGACAGTGCCTCCATATGTAAACACATAGCCTGTTTGAGATCGAGCCTTGTGTGGGTCAGATAAATACCCAGCATCGGCATAACCAACAAGATCGGAACTGCAATCATTTCCATAAAATAACCCCATATCGATAGTCCCTTTTAGATACCGCAATATGTGTTTGATTCCATTCCAATGTCTCATTGTAGGAGCAGAGTTATATCTTGCTAAGACATTAATTGAAAAAGTTATGTCAGGCCTTGTAGTGTTAGCAAGATACATAAGTGCACCAATT